GTACGAATAGTACGAATAGTACGAATAGAACACTTTCTGACAGTAATTCTTTATTATCTGGACATCCAAAAACTCTTTAAGAAGTCTTCAGTTAATCCAAAATGCTGCTGCTAGAGTTTTAATGAGAGTTGGAAGGAGAGATCATATTTCTCCAGTTTAAGCTTCTTTCCACTGGCTCCCTGTCAAATTTAGAATATAATTTAAAATGTTGCTCTTAACATACAAAGCTCTTAGCAACCAAGCTCTATCATATGTTAAACATCTTATTGTTCCATATTTTCCTAACAGAGCACTTCGCTCTCACACTGCAGGTTTACTTGTGGTTCCTGGAGTTTCTAAAAGTAGAATGGGAGGCAGAGCTTTTAGTTATCAAGCTCCTCTCTTGTGGAACCAACTTCCAGTTTCTGTCCATGACGCTGACACTCTGTCTATTTTTAAGGTTAGACTGAAGACTTTCCTTTTTGAAAAAATCATATAGCTAGACTTAGTTTTCCTGAATTATTCTTCATTTCTGCTGCTATAGACTTAGACTGCTTCCTCACTCTGCTGTTGACTTTAGTCTCTCTTCTCTACATGTTTATTGTAATTATTCCCAGTGATGCAATGCTAACCCAAAAATTAGCTCCACAATTTCTGAAGCTCTCATGAAAGTATTTAGGTCCGCAACTTCAAAAACATTTATGTCATAGAAAAACTACCAGAAACCAATTTTAAAAGTGTAAGTTCAACTTGACACTTACTAGCTGGCAACAATTCATGTGCGGTACAGTATATGCACAACACTGCCAAATAGCAGTGTATGAACCCTTGTACAGCTTAATCCTACCGATTGCTGGGGATGCGATTTCCTGAAACAGAATTTTGGCTCCTGGTTTAAAATTAAAAAGTTGTTGAGAATTGCTAGTTTGGTTGCTTCTTTGTCTTTTCTTTTTTTTTTTTTCTTTGTAGATTTTTCATTAAAGAAGCATCAGTAAAGCAATTTTAAAACTGTTTATTGGAAAACCGAAGCGATGCATTCTGGGTACATGACGGATTTGATTTGTGATGGGAAGCGAAAGCAAGGAGTACAGGAAACTATCTGCAAACTTCAAAATGAGAGCTTGGATTTTAAAGTTTTCCATGTAGTTGCTCGAGTTGACCTCTAGATGTCTGTCTTCATCAGCATTTCATCTTTAAATAATTTCTAAACCTGTTGGCCGATTGCTTCGACCAATTATGTCAAGTATTGAGCTCCAGCGTTTAAACTTTTTTTTTTAAAAAGGAGCTCCGATTGTAAAGTAAAATAAATCAATACATACAAAATTTTAGTATGGATTACAAGCGTTTACTGTTTTTGCTCGGAAAGGGAGTACTAAACATTGCCTTCCTGCTACGTAAGCAGACACAAAGCATTGTGGGAAATGAAAACCGTGACCGACAGAAACAGTCAGTAAGGATGTGTACCTTTCCAATAAATGTGTTTATCTAGGAGGGGTGCTGTTGGATAGATCATTTGTGTTGTGATTCATCGGCAGTCATACCTTCTGCTGTTCAATATAGTGATGACTGGTAGATAATTTGTTATTAGTGGTACTGCATTTTAATTTTAGAAAGCACAAATCCACTTGTGAGTTATAAAAATTAGTAAGACTGCTAAAGCGCAAATGAAATATTTAGGTCCGCAATTAGCGGATTTGCGCTTTAGTGGACTGGTGCCCACCACTTACTATTTCTATCAATAACAGGTTTTTTTCTTGTCTTTTCAGAAGAAGGTGCAGCAGGACCAGTTCTTCTGTGTTTGCCTGTCTCTTTCCTGTCCCCCAACCCAGCCGGTCGAGGCAGATGGCCGCCTGTCCTGAGCCTGGTTCTGCTGGAGGTTTCTTTCTAATTAGCAGGGATTTTTCTTTCCACTGTTAGCTCAGGATGCGAAACTGTGATGAAGTGATTCAACACAGCCTGCTGGCTTGTTCTTTTTTATGTACAGTGCCCCGAGACAACGTATGTTGTGACTTGGCGCTATATAAATAAACTGAATTGAATTGAATTACTTTAGTTTAAGTACGATGAAATTTACATTTACAAAAGAGCAGTTTACAATAAATCTCTGGGAATTTGACGGTTATTCTACTGCCTGACACCAAAAACATTCTTATTCCATGAGTGCACAAAAAATAGTTTGATAATTTTTATTTGCTTGATAACAGTGCAAAATTTAGTTAGGGTAAAGGTTAAAATTTGTTTCTATTTTTGCCCTCCTGCCTATGAAAAATAATGTTCATGTGTTGTAGTTACAAAGTTTAACCCAGGGGATCAGATGCAGGAACTGATTTTAATAAGTCTCTCCAGTTAAATGTTGTTTGAACTTAAGCTCTGGTGTCTGTGTCATCTGGAGATATTGAAAGGCTTCACAATTATTTCACAATGGACCTTTTCAACTCAGCTCTTGGAAGAAATATCACATTTATCCATCCTGCTTTTTTCACAATAAGTGGATTTCTTGGTATACCTCATGGGAAGTATTACTATGCATTTTTATGTTTTGTCTACATTGTTTCATTGCTTGGAAATGCAGCTGTTATGGCTGTAATATATCTGGATCACAACCTAAAAACTCCTAAGTATGTTGCTGTTTTTAACTTAGCCTTAGTGGATCTGTTGGAGAGCACTGCTCTGGTGCCAAAAGTGCTTGATATTTTTTTATTTGATCACTCCAATATTCCCTACAATGACTGTTTGGCATTCCTTTTTTTCTGCTTCACTTTTCTTTCAATGCAAGCTCTTAATCTAGTTGCTCTCTCCTATGATCGCCTGATGGCCATCATGTTTCCTTTGCAGTATCATTCAAAGGTTACCAATAGAGTAATGTTGTCTTTGATTGGCTTTTTCTGGATCTTTGCTATAATTTGTATTTTAATTACAGTTGGTTTTGTCACCAGACTTTCCTTCTGTAAGTCTGTGGTTATTAACAGTTATTTCTGTGACCATGGTCAGATATACAGACTTGCATGTAATGATAATTTTCCCAGCTTTTTTATTGCCTATTTCTTTCAAGTTCTTCTTTATTGGCTTCCTTTTACAGTCATCCTGAGCAGTTATATTTGTATTGGCTATGCTTTGTCTAAAGTAGCCACAGCTCAAGAAAGAATGAAGGCCTTTAAAACGTGCACAGCTCATCTATCATTAGTGGCAATTAATTTCATCCCGGTATTGTTTACATTCGCCATGAATGGAAACATAAATACAAATGCCAGGATCATAAACCTGTCTTTGAGCTCAGTAATTCCACCCATGTTAAATCCAATAATTTATGTTCTGCAGACACAAGAAATCAAAGTATCCTTGAAAACACTTTTCAAAKTGAGGAGTCAATCAAAAATTATGTTTAAATAAATTTTATCCAAGGTACTGTTAAAAAAACTTCGCTACATTACTGTAGTATGATTTGCTGTAAGTCATGATATTATTATTGCGGAAATGTAGAAAATAACAACATGATGTCACAATTTGAGTTTATTTATATGACTGAATTAGTAATGGCATAGCAATATTTTTTTAATAATGTAACCTTGAAATGAGTAAATTAAAAATAAATATAATAAATGGATTTGTTGTTATAATTTCTGTAGAGTA